TTGATCAGTTCACTCGGAGATAGAAACTTTTCTCGTAGAAACCGAATAAGCCAAGCAGTGTGTACACATTCTCTCTGGTCAGCGAATTGCCAGCAGCAATAGACATGAGACGACTTCCGATGTAAGCTGAAGCTTCCTGGAATTCAAATCTCACGCCAATTGCCTTGAGTTCCTCTTTATACATATGTAGCTTGTTTTGATAGTGCTGTTGATCAATCATTGGTATATCAACAAAGGAAGGTCCTGTTTGCAGAAGACTCCCCCAATTGGAGCTGGACAGAAATGATATATTAGGCGACTTGTACCCAGCCGACGTCTTTAGCTAACTCCTTCCTTGACACAAGTCAAGAACAGGTCTGGTAATCTCACACCATTTGACTTCAAATTCCTTATCCATTCCAGCAGCAAGAATGCATTCTCCACAGTTAGAGGTGATGAAACAGTAGGGAATCTGGCATCTGGTGGGTGTATGAATGGCACATCCGAAGCCTGCAAATTTGTCTTGAGGAATTCCAGTAGCTGGTCCTCAGAAGTGTAGTTTCCAGCAAAATGTCCTGCTGACTTGTAATCTGCTGACAATTCAATGTAGCCTTCATTCCTCCATGGGTTTGTACCCATCAAACCAACCCATTTGCTCCCTTGGCAGGAACTATAATTCTATTTCTTTTCTTGACAACATAGCCATAGCTATCAATTACTGGCATGGTGCGGCAGAGTTCTGATAAGTGGTAGCTCTCGATGTGAAGCGTCTTGGAAGAGTGGTAAAGAAAGTGTGCGAAGGAAATGACAGCTCTTTGATCAGAACCCAAGGAATCAACAACACTTGATGCATAGCTATAGACAGAGACAACCTCCACTCTTGCATGATTCTTAAGCCAGTTTTTCACAGTTATCTTCTCCGACAAATCTTCTAGAGCTGTTTGTGTGCTGGGAGGCAGAAAGAACCGGTTAGAAGATAGAAACTCCCTGTTCCAGCTGATTAGCCATGATATGTACTTGTTTTCAGACGCAATGCACAACCTATCATTCCACTGACTAGCTCTAGATATGCTCCAGAACGAGAGAACACCACCCCTATCAACATACTTCAATAGGGGAATGGACATCATGTTTGTACCAGAAAAGTTTTGCCAATTGTCTGCAACAAAATATATAATTTCCAGATACAGCTGTTCATGTACCTCCTTGACAAGATTTGAGCCTTCAATGCATTTTGCATACCATTCATGGTCCACATTTTCACTTCCAGAAAGTTTAGCACACTGTCATATATACTGTTGTCAAAATGAGAGCTAAGAATATAGGTTCCATGGGTCAACAGATTCTTCAGATCCACTCCGAGTTTCCATGCTTTGTCAAGGATAGTCCAAAATGCTGGCTTCAGCCGTGCAACTTCACTGGGCTTGCAGAATATCTTCCGTGAAGCATAAGACTGACACGGAACTATAGCCTCCATAAGGACCTTGTCTTTGATGCCAGACCTAACTGGCTCAAGCAGTGGGATCTGTGAAGAATTGACAGGTAGAAAGTTGAACATAGATGGCAGAGACATTGATGGTGATGCATCAGCTCCAGACTTTATGAGTGTCACAAAAGCATCCATGAAAGCGCTTGGGACACACTCTAGAATTCCCTTGTTCCACGGACTGTCAAACAGTATAGCCTCCCTTGACGAAGCAAGGAGGAAGTCAGCCTGAATGATGAAGGGAAGCTTGTTACCATCTCAGTTGGGAGGAAAGCATAGATGCCAGGTGATAGCTGCTTCCCACGGGACAGGCGCCGCCATGTGGGAAGGCCAGGGTTATCACCCATTCATCAATTTCAGCACGCTTATCGACTCTGTTCTCTGGCTTTACTGGGAATTTCTGCCTCCACATATAATAACCACATTCAGCTTCATCTTTCCGGTCTCTTCAGCAGATAAATGGATTGTGTACGACTCAGCATGCATGTTCTTCCTGGCTTGGTAGTTCTTTTCACTGGATATCGAAATCTCACTAACAGTTGTATTGCTGGGATCAGAGTTATCCTCCCGGACAGAAAGTTTCCTAATCTTTGTCAGGAACAGTAGCATTTCAGGATGCATGCTTGACAGCTGCCTCTTCACCGCATCAATCTTCTCACTCTTCAATGGTAAGATGATGATAGTTGTAGGTAGGACCTTTGAGCACCCATATAATGCTTCGATGTCAGAAAGGCTAGGTGTGGATTCCACCCACTGAGGTACAATGTACCCAATATTGCATTCTGCACAAGGTTTCTCATTGAACTTGATCTGATAGCCGTTGCTGAATATGTGGGGCTGACTTGATATCAAGAACACACTTTTGAACCCAATACCTGAATCAGAGGCAACAAAAAATTAGTTGAAACTAGGCACAAATAGTAACCAGATATGCAGTACGTTATGTAATCCTTTGCAGTGAATTGGTTGTAGTAGGTAAACAGATAATGAAAAAAAATGCTACAAAGATTTGACATCTGATGAAACAAATTTGAGCAAGGTTACATTAGGCATTGGGCGCTCTCTAGACAGTGACCCTCTTCCTCTCGCCTAACCGTTTTAAGGCGTTTTGTACAAATACATATATTATATCTAAAAGAAAAGAATAAAGCGGAACAGTGGGATTAGATTGGAAACAAAAATCCCTAATCCCCTAATCTCACGAGCAGTGCCGAATGGCCTAACATGTATCTATTGCTATAGCATATTTATATATCTACGTGCATAATTATATACCACATATATTTTAAATGGCTACGTATATCTCTTGCGTATATATCTACATTCGTAATTACATACTTATATCTTTTCCAGTTTATCCTAATCGAATTATGTCATGTCCAAAGTTGCAAAATAAAAAGATATACCACATCCAATAGATCATGCATGCATCAATTAGATCTAAAAGGTTTTTTATATCTAAACCTTACCTATTTTATAAAAGATAAAATTAGATAAATATATATTTTACCTATTACCTCCTAGGAAATAATGGATGATCCTAACGATCTGATCTAATTAAATAAACAGCTCACAGTCATTTAAATTTAAATGCATAATATTAGCATAACTATTGTTTAATTCATCTAAAAATATGTTTATCAATTTGACTAAAGTAATCCATCCCAAGTGTTTAGTTTATGAATGCTAATGCTAGCATCTCAAAACATAACATGTGTAGTTGTGTATTAAAATAATTGTCTTAAAGGCCTTACTTTAGTTAGATAGGATTACAAAATTTTGTCTAAAAACAATTACAATATTTATTTTAATGCATAATATGAGCATACGCTCTTGTACCACAATGAGGTCTCTACCACTGTAAGACATGGCAACCAAAAAAGAAATTAGAAAAGACATAGCTTTCATGTAATATTGTTTTAAATGGCGTGATCTATGATTATTTGGCCGAAACCACCTTATTGGTAGAAATTACCATAAGTTCAAAACTTGGCACGTCCATAGTAAATTCATATATCGGACATGTCTTAAAAGTTGAGATGCAAGTCCGTTCGTGTTCTAGTGCAAATGCACCTAAATTTTTGTATGAACTCTACTTTTCTACAAATCGGATGCAATATGGAGGTGCCAAGTGTCATTTTTTAAAAAAAAACTATATATTTTTCAAGTGGTTTCCACGATTCCACAGAATGTTTTCCCATGATATAATTGATCAGCATCATATTAAGTACTGAACATAGTTTTAGTCACAACAACAACAACAACAACAACAACAACAACAAAGCCTTTAAGTCCTAAACAAGTTGGGGTAAGCTACTGAACATAGTTTTAGTCATTCAAAATTAAAATATTGTATGATCTTTTACTGCTATCATTTGCCTGAAATAGACTCAAAAGGTCCTAACTAATTTTATCTCCGTGGTTGAATATTTCTTTTTCTGAATGGTGATTTAGGAAACAAAATGAATGAAAAAAACTGTGAATATTTGCCTTTCTCTCCAATGTAACCCTGATGTCTGTTTCCCTTCTTTGTTGATTTCCCAACACGACAAATTGACTCTATATTGGTTGCAGAGAAACCCCTCTCATTGTTGAAGATGAGCAAAGTTGAGGATGCACCACATCCAGTAATATCCTTTGATGTAATGAGGAACTCCAAAGAAGGTGCTACTTCAGAAGGGTATTCATTATCTTCAGCGTTCTATTTTTTGAGAAAGAAAGCAAAGTATGAGAAGAAGTATTAAGATTTAAGCACAAACACACCTGCAAACTAATATAAATAAGGTGGCCACAGACAATGCCTAACTTCCAAGGATTAGTGTTTTTATTCTAAAAAAAAGGATTAGTGTTTTTGTTCGCTTCACAAGTTAAGAGGAATCAAATAAATACAGAGGACACACAAGAAGATGAACTTTTTGTTTTACCAGTTAGTTCTGCTATTCATCATTGAAGAAAAGGATTATGACAACTACATGTCTTTTTAAATTTGACGATAATTACTGACCACATGGAAAACTTATGTAGGAAAAAATAACAAGCGCAACGGCTTAACTATGATGGCAGTGTTCGGCTGGCTGGCTGGTTGCCGGCTGGGCAGCCACCTCAGAATCACTATTCACGTCCTGCCAGAACAGTATTTTCCTCTCACAACAATCAGCCGGAACAGTATTTTTCAGTCATGCCGAACAGGCTCGATAATTATATAAACTCGCAATACGGAAAAGGAGGGCTGACAAATTATGCTAACAAATAAAAGAATTCTGCTAAATCGGTGCCCAAATTCATACACACATATAGAGTAGTTATTCTTTGGCAGTTGACACCAAATTAAACAGAAATAATCTGATGGAACACAAAGGCACACAGAAAGGGCAACTCACACAGCGGTTCACAGCTAGTATGCGCACATCAATTAGCCAATTGCAGAAACTGTAGAGCATAGTAGCCTCAAGGCCCTGAACTAAGTTTCCGCTCACACAAGAACAGCGACAGCAAGAGAAACGTCAAAAGGAGATTACACCGGCCGATCGATTACCTGCACGAGCTCCATGAGGAAGTGCACGTCCTTGGAGTAGAGCTCCTGAGAGAGGTAGTTGACGGCCTGGTGCATGTCCTCCGCCAGTGGGTTCTGCTCGCCGCGCCCGATGTAGTAGCGCTCCCGCCGGATCCTCTCCACGTGCTCCCGCGGCGACGCCGGCGGCGGCATCGCCGAGGACGACGACATTTTGACGGTTCCACTTCACTGGACTACCAAGGGGAAGGGACGCGGCGTGGGTTGCGAGAAAGTGCAGAAGGGAGAGGGAGAGGAGGGGTCTTCTTCCGGGCTTGCAGGCTGCCTTTATAACCACGGTGATTACAACGGCGGTTCTTCGAATTCTGGTGTTTCTTCATGTCAGCGGCAACTTAGCTAGCTACATTAGACTTAAAAAAAAAAATATTGTAGTCGAGAGTTATTTGAGCTGTGTGAGTTATTTCTAGGCGCACCCCGCCTCTTCTTGCCCCCGACCGCCAGCCCCCAGCGTGCCACGAGCCACATCCGCCGGCCACCGGCTCGCCACGGCCCATTCCCCTACGCCCGTGCCCTGCCACCATCACTTCCCCGTGTCCCTGACTCTCCAAACCGCATGAAACATGTGCAACATGAAACAGTTGAATACAACATACGTCCGAAACAAATAAAACATCTGGAACATACACTTACAACATATGTGTGAAAATATATACAACATCTAGATAGAACACTTGCAACTTACAACAAGAAAACCCTTGTTGCAACGGAAGACTAGAACAGGTGAAACATTTGGAACATACTGTTGCAACATATGTGTAAAACATATGCAACATCCGGATCAAAACGCTTGCAACATACATTTAGAACAGATGAAACATTTTGAACAAACGCTTACAACATGCCTCCGAAACATTTGCAACATATGCAACATGTGCAACATTTCCGATCTTCTTTTGCAATATCCATAAGAAAACAACTTTAACATACCTCGAAAATGTCTAGAAACATATATTTGGAACATAGCGGATGGGGAGCGCATATGCTGGTCAATTCCGGCCGTCGGGGTGGGAGCCGGTGGCAAGCGGCAGCGCGCGAACGCCACTAGCATCTAGCAACAGCGACGCGTGCGAGCACCACCGCCACCAGTGCCACCAACACCGGGCTTGGCAATGGCAGGCGGGTGGCGCGTGTGACGGGCGGAGCGAGCACCACCAGCACCGCGCGCGTGCGACGGGGGCAAGCGAGCGGCGACGGATGGGGCGTGTGGCAGCAACGAGAGGATTGCATGTCCACGCTCAGGACGGGGTAGCCGCAAGGCACTGCGGTAGGGGAGGAGGAAGCAGAAGGGATATTGATGGGTGATTTTTTTCAATAAACTCATAGGCAGAACGAGCGGCAGGGTAAAGCGCAAGCAACAAGGCGGTGGACCTGCGGGAGTGTCCAACGATTTGTGCTCGTGTCGGATGTAAGACACGTAGCATTACCACTTTTTATAAGGTGCGGTCCGACATACTAAAGTCTACCAAATTACAATTTGATTATTTATTTAGTTTTACATTATATTGTTTATACTTATAAACTTATGATAATTGGATACTATATTTAATTGCAAATCTAAATGTATCAAATTTGTAATATAATAATTAAAAAAGTATTAGTCAAATTATTGTTAAAGAGTTTTAAAGTTTAATTTTTCATATATGTTTATGCCTTATAAAAGAGAATGAAGGGAATAGCGTATAACTTATCAGGGCTAATAGTATATTGCTAGGGATGTACGGAGGGAATAGCATATAACTTATCATGGCCAATAGTATATTGCTAGGGATGTATGCACCTTTTATTAGACTGGGAACCAAACATGTGTAAGGCTAATAGTTAGATGACTAAATTTTAGCTGGTCTCGAGTAATAATTAGATTTAGCTAAACAGGTCTGGCCCATCTTGTCACTTTTAAAAATATTGTGGGAGTAGTGCTGAAATTCAAAAGTGACTGTAAATTAAAGGGTGGTTACGGTACTAAGTTTTGCAAGTATAATTTCGGAGTTAATTGATATATTGTTCTTTAAAGTCACTTCATCCCTATTATTACTATCTCGGGAGACTAAATTGACATGTCTCGAGTTTATTGGTGGACATGTGGTTTATCATCGAAAAAATATATTCCTTAATAAATTAAGTATACAGCAATATATCAGTCAAGTATCATGAAAGCTGATCAAGATTAGTACAAAGTGTCTCTCAACTTTGCTGCTACGCACCCGAGCACAAACTTTTGATACTGCTAACATTGGTCATCAGTCGAGCAGGCAATGCAACCAGGCTCCCACATGCATATCTTCGCGGCGAAGGTTGCTTCCCTACCCTACACGGCTACACATCGTTAAATAAAGCCAGGACGGAGTCAGTCTTTCTGAGGCAGAGCGTCTCGTCGCGACTGTGAGCTGCCCAAGTGACACGACCAGAACCGTGAAACATCTAGGTCGCTGTCACTTGTTCGTCGTCCCACTGCGTGGAAAGCTACCCCAGGACGACGCAGCTGTTTACCTGTTTGGCACTCATTGGATTAAAGGTATACAGAGTCTGTCAATTTTGAAGAGGACCTTCCTCTTTTTAGCCTCAATTTTGGAGTGATCACTCTTTTTCCAAAAATAAAATAGGCAGGATTAATTTTCTTGGACCATGATATGGAGCAAGCCAAAAATGTAAAATTATTGCTCTGTCTTTAAACAACTATATGGTCTAAAGATTAATTTTCATAATCATGAGATTTTCTGTTTTAGTGAAGTAAATATAGTTACCAGAGTAAATATACTAAACTTTTTTAATGTAAAGTACTCACTCCATCCCTAAATATCTATCATTTTCGCTTTCCAAGAAACAACTTTGACTAATATCAATAGATAGATATTTGAATCTAGTTTTTAATAAATATATTTGGAGACGAATGTTGCACGTATTTTCTATAAATCAAATCGAACTTTCGGTATGAAAACCAACTGTGACAGTTAATTAGGGACGAAGGGAGTAAGGTCACACCCTTTCAGGTACCTATGCACTTCTACAAACTTCATAATACAGATTGGAGTGTAATGGAGGAAAGATTAAATGTAGCACCTGGTTTTTTAGGACAAAACCAGATACAAACCATATGTGAGTCTAGAAAGTCAAATATCACATATAGCTACAAATAAAGGTAATATCAATAGACAATGCTTAATATATAACATACTTAGTATAAAGGATATATCCTTAGACAACAAACAGCAGAAAGACAACTCCGATCTTCGGGTGAAAACTCTAATTTCACAGGGACAACTGACTGGTTGATCACAAGCTTAATTTCTCCAAACTCTAGCAATCTGGTACCCATCCAGGATTTTTTCAAAGATTTAAAAAGTAAAGCAAGCGTAAGTACATGTCGTACTCAACAAATATAACATGGGGTTCATGAGGCTCAAATGGCTGACACTGGTTTAACTGCGATTAGCTTTTAATGAGTCATCTTTTAGCAATTGAGTAGTAACAAGTTTATTCACAATCCCATATAAACACATGATCAGGTAAACATGAATAATGAACAGCATAAACAGTAATCATTAGTGTGCATCTTCATCATCGGTATCATCCGTGTTCTTCATCTATTCCGTAAGGGTCTAAGGTCGCTCGTGACCTTGAGCACGGCTGATATACCAGTTTTACACTCTGTAGATGTTGTACACTTTCACTGTGAGTCGTGATTCACCCTTTCGCCCGAGGCGGCCAACCTCTTGACCCACTAACAAGGAAGGTCGACAGGGTTCACTATGAAACCTTTCAAAGGTTCGTCTAATAAGTTAGGGCCGCTAAGGTTTCTCCATCAATAAGCATGAACCCCTCTCTAAGGAGTGACTAACAAAATACCAAGAAACCAAAGTGCACCCTCTTGGCAGGCCGAGATCATACCTGTCGGAGCCCCTCTTGCACCACAAAGGTTACCACTAACAAGCTAGAAAATGTCCTCATACTAAGCTAAAGCTAGAGCCATGTAGCCCTCATAGCTATATTGTAAGTCTCGGATGTTCGCTTACAAATAAGTCCTTAGAGAGAGGAATCTAGAGCACCATAAAATAGCCCAATGCTCTAGCCCCTTGTTCCATGTTGCTAAAAATTATCTTTTAATGTTTATTGCATATTCCCTTAGTCAAATTACAAGATCATGGTTTTGGTTGAGCACTAGCATCATACTACCCAATGCATAAGCCCATAGGTATCAAGGTACAAGGTAACAAAGTATTAGGAAATCCTTAGTGGTAGTCAAGGTAGACACATACAGTATGAATTAAATGATTAAAGGTGTATAGGACAACAAGAAAGATCTCATATTATACTTGCCTTAAACTTAGATCCTTCTTCTAGTTCAAACCTTCAATGAATTACTTCTGGATTCACCGCGTATAGCTCACCGACTAGACATGATCATAAAACACCACACAAGCATCCATGCAATCATACACAAAGCAAACAATAGAAATAAATTAGAATGATACACCAAACATAATATACAATAGGTAAAAAGGTTTTAAAAATATTTTACATGTTACTACGAACACATAGACGTGAAAACCACTCTAATCGAAACTATAACGAAAAAGTTATGAATTAAACAAGATTTCCTTTTATAAAATAATAGATTAAATCTAACCTCAAATTTCAAAAGTTGAAAATATATTTAATAGTAGGATGAACATGTAGATTACTCAATTACGAATCTAACGCAACTTTAATGGATCAAAACAGAGTTAAAACGAAGATTTTATGACCTAAATAAGACTAGTGGCAAAACTATAAATAGATGAAAGCGTATTTTGGATATAACCGAAGAAACTACGTTTTCAAAAGAAGAAAACATATTTTGAATCTAACAGAGGGATTTTACGCTTTCTGAAAGAGAAAACGTGTTCTGAATCTACTAGAAAGAAACTACGCTCTCGGAATAGGAAAACGTATTCTAGAAGTGCGCCCTGGACTGCGGGTTATATTACACGAAACTGTAGGGGCTCTTTTGCAAATAAACCCGGCGAAGGCATACGGGTGATCTTGGACCATCGGATTGAATCTGGACGGCCCATATTAGAAAGGAGAGGGAGAGAGAGTCACCGACCGGAGAAGAAAACCGACGCCACGGAGCTCTATTACCGGCGACGAGAAGCTCTCCGGAGCGCTCGGTTTGG